GCTAAAGCTACGATACTAGATATGCCTTAGTCCACACTGATCCCTAATATGAAGAACATATATGAACCCGTTTTCGAGGCAAAGCTCTTCTGTCACAGCCTTCTAAAGTCACTGGGAGGCAGCCTCCCATCATTCTCATGACATGAATGGCAAGAGGGAGGCACAGATTAATGCACAAAGAAGCCTATAGCCAGCCTGGATCCCAGACCCCTAGATGGGAAAGCTCTATCTGAGCCTGTTTTCTCCCTTCAAGCTTTTGTCTGCTCTGAGCACACTGTGCACATCCCTGTGGCAGCCTCCTGTAATTGCAGCACGGACCTAGAGGGAGCCAGCCACCTCTGCTAAATGGGCCTTCTCCACCTTATGGACTCTGAGACTTCCACGACTCTGGGCTCTTTCCAGCCCCTCTGGAGTCCCTACGTTACTACAGTCACTGTCACAATGCTGTAGCAGGCAAGTCCCTCTGGACTAACACATGTCATTGCTGGAGTGGTCTTGATATGCTCCGTTGAGAGGATCCCTAAACAAGCCAGAATTTGTCAATTAGTTAAGAGGCTGACCCAATTAAAAAAATACTCATAGCTTTTTTACCCACCATGCGACACCCTACACAAAATTGAGTGCCAGAGTGAAATGGGTCATCACTGTCACTGCCTCAGAGGACATTAAATGAGTCAGAAGGTACCCCCAGGTGATTTAGTGGGCAACATTTCATAAGATGTGGAAGCGGCTCACAGTTTCTCATAATGCAAAGATCAAAAAGTGAAGCAGCTGCTCCTCCGCCCCAGCCTGGAACTGGTGACTTTGGCATTGGGTGAAAAGGCCTCTGAGGACAAAGGGATTCTCTGTACCTGGCCAGCCCACAGGTGTGTGAAAAGCAGTCAGGTGGCCCGAGGAAGTGGGCCAGTCTGTTTTCTGTGATGTGGACAGGGAAGGGAGCCAGTAGCTCTGTGTGGCACTTCTGTCCTGTGAAGCCTGAAATTAGCTTGCACGTAGAGACATACATTACGCCCCAGCACTGCCTGCTGTAGATCTGCAGCAGCCTCCAGAGGCCCATGAGTTAAAGGCCTGTTCCCGAGAGTGGCACTACTGGGAGATTATGAAACCTTTAGGAGGTGGGGCCTAGTAAGAATCTTAGGTCACTGTGGTTACCCTGGAAGAGGACTGTGGGACCCTAGTCTCTTGCTATTTCTCTTTGTGCATCTGGCCGTGAGGTGAATGGGCCTCTTCCACCATGGCTTCTTGCCATAAGGCCATAATGTGCTGTGTTCTCACCACAGGACCTAAGCAATGGGGGCAACTGATCACAAACTGAAACGTCTGAAACTGTGGCAAAATGAACCTTTCCACTTTGTAAGTTGATTTACCTCAGGTATTTGTTCTACCTGAGAAAGAAAAGCCGACTAACACACTGCCCCTCAATTCCTCTCACTCTTGCTCCTTTTGCTCCTCCCATTGGCAAATTCTTACACTTCACTCTCTGATCTTATGAGGAGACTGTGGAGTGACAAACTACCTCTAGCCTTGAGGCCCCTGCCTCCCTGCCCTCTTGCTCTCAGTCCTGGTGGCTGATACGCTCCATTGCCCCATGGGCCCCAGGCCTGCTGTGGGCCCAAGCAGGAGCCAGTTAAATGGTCCTGTGCAGCAGCCCACCCCTAAGCTGCCACTGGGGCTTGTTTTTTTCTGACTTATCCCCCGACTCTTAGGACTGGGTCCCCTCTTACCAGGTCCTCTCCTGGTACTGTTTAGACCCTTCAATAAAAACTTTTTTTTGCCCCTTTCTGTATTTTCTGCTTTTCTAGCAATGTCTGGCCGATTCTCTGAGAAGCTCCGTGACTCTCAGAGTGAGTCAGTGCCTTGTTCTGCTTCTCCTCTCATATGGTCATACATCTCTTCCGTGACCATGCTTTTCAGCCCATCCTACTCGACTGAGCCTTGTGGGCTTTCCCTGGGGCCTTAGCCAGTGTCTTGCCCCACAGTGCTCTTCAGGTATTTGTGAATTTATTTTTTATTTTTAAAAAAATTTTATTTTTAGTATCGGAAATTAAACTAAGGCCTCTGCCCTTGCCAGGCAGGCGTGGCGCCACTGAGCTACATTCCTGGCAGATATCTGTGAATTAAAGAATGAATGGATGTGTGCTGCTCCAAAACACCCTGGCTGTGGCCAGACACCACTCCCTTTAACCAGACGCACAGCCACTGGAGCTGTGCCTAGGGATGCGCTGGAGGCAGCTCCCTCACTGGCCCTGAGCCATGTTGCCCAAGGGCCACCTTGTCCCTGGCGATTCTCTAGGGACAAGGACTCAGGTACTACAGTGCCACCACCTACAGTCTGGTCCCCACACCTCACCCTGGCTCAACCTCTGGTCCTGCAGCCACAGGCCCCAAATATCACATTATGGGTATCTACCAGCCCGCTGCATCCTAATGGACAGACACGAAGTGGTGTGATCTGCATACAAGACACAAAGGAGGCTCACCTCCAAGACAGGCTTGGGCTGTTCCTCTGTGTCTTCATTCCTCAGCTCTCAGGACTGGGTTCTTCCCTTGTTCCCCTGTGACCAGGTCTTCCTCTGGAACTGTCTTGACCCCCACTTGACCTTTTTTGGCCTCTTTCTGTATTTTCCAGACTTCGGGCAATTTCCAGCCCGTCCACTCCCAAAGTGGGCCAGTGTCTTGCTCTGGAAGTGAGCTAGTGAGCAGAGTGCTGGGACTGTGTTGGAGCTCTGCAGTCACAGGGCCCTAGGGCCAGGTGTGGTGGTGCATGTCTGTGATCCCAGCACTTGGGAAGCTAAGGCAGGAGGACTGCCATGAGTTTGGGGCCCGCCTGGACTATAAGTGAGCTCAAGGCCAGTCTGAGCTACACAGTGAGACCCTGTCTCAAAAAGAAAAAGAGAAAAAAAGGGCCCAGCAGCTCCTTGCTGTCTGAACTTCAGCAAATGGCTCACTTAGAACCTCAGTTTAACACAGAAGTCAAAGGAGATTGTGATGCTTACGGGGGAGACCATAAGAAAGTACTTTGCAGAGCTTAGACTCTAGGACATTTCCAACACATGCTTGTTTCCCTTCATGCACTAAGGCCCCTGCCCTCTCTCCTGACCAGGATGGAGACCACTTCAAACTAATGAGCCAGAGGAACACTGTTCAGCCTTATGTTGGGGGAGACCTCTCATTCCCACATTGTCTGCTGACCTCTGTTATTAGTAACAGAACTTCTAAGTTTTCAAGTGTGCATGGATGACCAAAATGAAACTCCGTTTTCTGGCCCTCCTCAAAGATGGGTATTACCAGGCACCTAGGATTTGGCCAGGGTGGAAGCAGCTAAGAGCTGCCTAGGATTTCTGGGAGGGCTATGCTTAGCTTTCTCCTTGCCATCTTTCTAAAGGGTGGAATAATGGAGCCCAAATGGCCATTTCAATTATGAGGTGGGAGCAAGGGGTAGAGGTTGTGGAACAAGAAGGTACCAGGGTCTTTGACTTCTGGGGATCATGCTGGCATGGAGCCCCTCACGAACTTCATCTATGTGTGAGAGATATTACCTCACATCTTGTTTAAACATCTGCTGCTTCGAGTTTTCTTTACCTGCTAGACAAGTCTCGTATATATTAATTTTAGTCTATCTGTCTGACCATGGTTCCTTTCTGGATAATTATCTGAAGTTTGCTGCAGGCCTTCAGGAAGCTGCCTGAGACTCTAGCTGAAGAGGCTGCCCCTATGGCATCTTTGAAACCAGAAATACAGGCTTCTAAGGGCTGCAACTTTCAGGGGGCTACTGACCATCTTGATTCTGTGGGGTCAATTAGCTCCCTGGGGGAGGGAAGGAAGCAAGCTCACTATGAATCTACTGTGTGGCCATGGCTCTTACACACAGGAGGATATTCACACATGCTCTTATACAAGAGCACACACACTAGATCAACTGACTGGAGTAAATGAGGGTCAGAAGGAACTTGATAAAACATTAAGGAACTGCAGCCGTCTTGCTAATGTGACATCTGCTGTGGTCCTTAACTGCCTCCTGAAGTCTCAGAAAGCAACTTACTGTTTTCTGATAGCATCTGGGTGTGAATCTGGGCACCAAATCAAACAGAGGAGTAAATCACACAGAGGAGTTAGAGAAGACCTAGAACAGTGTCACTCAGAGGCAGTGGCCCTCAGAGTGGCCACCAGTCCTCACACTATTTCTTACTAGTCTGCAGTGAGATGAGGAGCCGATGGCAGAACGCAGATCAACGGCATCACTGAGAACACTACTCTTTTAGCTGTTTTTCATGGTGAGGGAAGCAATGGAGAGATATACAATCTGGGCATAAGCCCCTGATGTGGTTTCAGACAGCACTTTGAACTACTCTGCTCTAGAATATGGTTGCCCTATTACAGGGGATTTTATTGTCTGTCTGTCTGTCTGTCTCTCTCTCTCCCCTCCCCCCCTTGGTCCTACTCCAAATGAAGTAAATCAGTGACACAGTTACACAGATCTGCACTATAACAAAGCACCAAAGCTGATTCTGAGGAACAGCCCTGGTGTTTGGATATGACAGGAGGGTGGAGAATATAGAATTGTCTTTTCAAACCCAAAGCATTGTGAACTTCTATATGCATTTAAACTTAAGCTGGCTCTGCTGGGTACAACAATCTTTTAAGTTTTTCCCGGGATCTTTATCAACTAGTGATTTGATAGTAACTTGAATAAATTTAAACATGGAGATATTTGATAATATTCTATGTGGCTTGGTTCATACTGTAGTTTTCCCTAAAGCTTGCAATCCTTACTTAATTTATTACCTTATGAAGCGCAAAGGCAGCTTTCTCAATGCCCTTATAAAAGTGGAGAAAGATCTCTTGCTTTCCCCATGACAGAGCCCTTAGCGCTATCAGTGCTGTCATCTGGAACCTCTGGTGCAGGAGAGGCTTGGTGCCCCAGAAATGGGCCAATGGTTCCAAAACAGGCACATCTGTATGGCTCCAAGGGGTTAGAGCCCATACCCACTGTCCCTTACCAGCGGTCCCCAGGCTCAGCAGCACAGCCACCCAGAGGACCCAGAAGAAAATGAGGATGGCAAACGTCCACACTGGCTGGAAGAGCAGGAAAGGAGAGCTGTTGATGGCTTTGTTTGTGACTTGGAAAAGCGCAACTGTCAATTTTATTCTCTTTCTGAAGACAAAAATCAAGACGAGTAGAATTGCCTGGTGAAAAAGGGGTTAGGGTAAATTATTTCAAGTAGAGAGGTACTCATTATTTTTGGTACTCATTATTTTTGTAATAACTACACTCATAAGTTCCCAAACACTGATTGAGCACCTACTATGTGCTCGTCATTATTCTAGATCCTGCAGCTGTAATAGTGAAACTAAAGGAGCTTGCAGACTCAGCTGGTCAAAGAGCAGGAAAAAATGAGAATAAGGAGCTCTCCGGTCAAGGACCTATCTTCTGTATCCCCTACCACCCTACACCAAGAAGCCAAGATAGTCAGAGGAGGGTGCAAAGGGGCAAGGAAACACAAGCACAAAGGAAGAGGACAGTGATGTCTCAGCCTTCTGGGCCTTCTTTTCTGCAGGCTTTTCCCTCCCTAATTAATATTTACCAGACTCTCATTTTAAGGAAACTATCATCCCTCGCCCCAACTGCTTCCAGCCACTGCCTTCACTGTCATTCGTTTCACTGTCGGGTTCCTCAACCTGTCTCCACTCACGATCCACATTTCACGCCCCAGTTTATTTTTCAACCACCTGCAAACCTCCGGACACAACACTTCCGAAACTGCCCTCTCTGAGATCACTTCACGGAAGCTCCTGATTGTTAAATTCCACAGAACCTTGCAAGTCTTGTTTGACCACAGTGTGGCATTTGAATCTATTGTTCACTTCTCTTTCTCCTCCCTTGCTTTCTATGATCTCTCTCTCTTCTGGCTCTTCTGCTGTGTGTGTATGAGGGTGGGGGACTGAACCTTCACACTGAACTATATCCTCAGCCCTTTTTACTGTGAGACTGGGTCTTGCTAAGTAGCCCAGGCTGGGTTTGAATTGGTGGTTCTCCTGCCTCAGTCTCTGAATCCTGGGATTATAGGTGTGCACCCTCATGCCTGGCTTCTCTTTATACTTTTTCAGTTACTGCTTTTTGGGATTTTTAGGGGGTGTCTCCTATTCCTTTGTAGCTTCAGCATCCTTCCCAGGCACTGACAATTTTCAAATCAAAACCCTATCCTCTCCCCTCTCTAGGTGATCGATGAATAAGTGCATATCAGCTATTGACAAGGCCGCACATTCCCCATAGCATCTCCAACACAAATTATCTTGGACCAAATTAATTGTCTTCATACTAAATCTCCTCTTCCCTCTGTGTTCTCTATGTCTAGTGGTCCTAATTCTTCTGGACTCTTCTAGTTAGGTTCCTCTCTTGTGTGCTCCTATTCTGTCCCTTACTTTCTCTATTGTAGTAGTCAATATACTCCCCCGTAAATGTTGCTTGTCTGAATTTCTCCTTACACTGAGCTCCTTCAGGTCAGGGCCATGCCTTAATGCCAAGGGCTGGCACAGTGCCTGGCACACAGTACAATCTCAGCCACATCTGATTCAGTGTCATAAATACCTCTCCATCGGTTATAGATTCTATCTAGATGTCCCCCCAAAGCCTCATGTGGTCATATGTGGGGCTTTTCCAAGGGTGTGTGATACTGGGATCAAGGATGTGATGCTGGAACTGATTCTTGATGTGATGCTAGGATTAAGGCTGCCCCACCCTGGGTGTGGATGCTATCCACCCTACGGGATAGGTAGACTGGATAGGATATAAGGGACAGAAAGAAGATTGCTGCTTGTCGCTTACTGCTTGCTTCCTTCTACTTCGCTGCTTTGCTACCTTTCTAACTTCTGTCTGCCAGGAACCATCTCTCCTCTGCCATGCCCTTTTACCATGCCACCCTGCCCTGGAGCCAGCCAACTATGAACTGAAATCGCTACAAACTGTGAGCTTAATAAACCTTTCTTCCCTTAACTTGTGGGTATTGGAAATTTTGCCTCAGCAACAAGAAAAGTAACTAAGACACCATCCATCTTCTCCTCTCCATCCTTACTGTTGATGCCACAGCTCCACTCTCATCCTTTCCCATATGAAGCCCCCAAACCGCCTCCTTAGCTTTCTGCATTCAATCCCCTGATGCATCCTCACTTCAATCCCTCTTTCACTCCACAGCTAAAGAGACCTCTGTGAAGGGTAAAGCCAACAATGTCATCTCCTCACTGAAAATCCATGAGTGTCTCTCCCCTGGATGAAGATCAAAGTCATTATTACTGCCAACCAGGTCCTTACTGACATGACACCTCTCTGGATCTGTCTCAGACTTTCATCAAGGGAACCTCCTGCAGGTGGCTGTCCTGCCCATGGGACCCCGTGTATGCTGTGCCCTTGCACTGAGTTGCTCTTTTTCTTCCAGCTGGGCCTGAATGTTCCTGTCCTCAAGGATCTCACAGGCAAGTGGAGGAAAGGTGGTGAGAGGATGGTGGGACAAACTGTGCAGTCACTGCTCCAAGATCTGAGAGCAGCAGCACCTGACCCTGCTGCAGAGCTCAGGGGAGGCCAAGAGAGGCACCCAAGGCTTTAAGTTGCAAAGGCTGAGTGGGAGCTACCACCTCTGTGTTCTCAATGCCTAACAAATCAACAAAGAAGAGGAACTTTTTAAAAATTTAAAATGCTGAAGAAGCAAAGTGATACAATCATTAGGCAAATGCATTTAGCTTCTAGATCCTAAATGGAATGCAAAATATGTGTACACTTAAATATATATGTTTTACCATTTGAATTAGATAGATGCACGTAAGACAGTACACTGGGAAAACATTCATTAGAAGCGATGGGGTTTACTCCAATTTGTTACTCCCCTCAATCTGGACAGAGAGCAGCATCACCTATTGGGGTCTGGGGCTAGGGGTGTGTGTGGGCTGGGCAGGTGGCAGAACTGACTTGCCACACGGGGGTCAAGACTTGACCTCACTCTCCTGCGCTCGAAGCATTAGGTACATTTCCACTAATCCTCCTAGACTGGCGCTTGAGGTGAGCATTCAAAGCCTTCCCCATCTCATTTTCTTTATTGCTATAAGTGCTAATAAGGAAACTGGTCCTTATCGTCCCAGAGTGATGTGCTTAAGTTTATCTGTAAGGTAGCTGCTGCTGGGAACTCAGGAGAAGGAACACACCCACACCTGAGAGGGGCTGGGCAAGGGTCTCTCTGGGACCCAGGCCTTGATGAAGCATCTCAGTCACTGCTGGGCAGTACCATGCATGGGCTCTGAAGGGGGAGGAAGGGATAAGGTGCGGGGGAGACCTTCTCCTGCTCTTCCCCTGCTCTTCTTGGTCTCCCCTTTCTCTACCTCCTCTAAGCAGCAAGGGTGGGAGAGTGGGAGTAGGAGAAGGGCAGAGGGGCTGCTGATCGCTGTTCTTTGCCCTTGAGACCAGCGGTGGCCTGGGAGTGGTGCAGGACTGGAAGGCAGGACTTAGTTTTCCCTGACCCCCTGCACAGGGTGAGTGGGAGCGGAGACTGGGCTGGCTAGCGAAACATGAACAGGGCAGGCAGAGGCTTCCCTGGCCATGGCCATCCTCTTGCTCCACAGCCAGCCCAGCTTCCCTGAGAAGGCAAAGGCTGAGCTCTCCCTGTGAGCACCACATCACGACGCTGCTTGCCAGCCCTTTACCGCATCACCGGCCTGCGCGGGCTCTGTGTTTCGTGTCTTGCTAGCGTCACTGCTTAGTGCCCAGCCCTGTGCATATTAGAAGCTGCACATAAATGGCGGTGAGCATGAAGGATCTGGGCTTTTATGAGGATAAGAGTCAAAACTGGCTCATCAAGCCATGGGCACTTGGGAGGAACTCATGCCAAACAAGTGGCCTATGGGCTGTGGTTTGGTTCTGCCCACATTACCAGCCATGGGAACATCTTCATGGACCTGAGTGAGAACGGCCCCTCTCTCTCCCCTCACAGCCTCCCCTTTCCCTCACTTCATAATGAGTGGAGAGAATTTACCACAGCCTTATGATCGAGTGGCCATGAATAGTTCAGTGTGTGGAGATAAAGGGAGTCACAGAGACTGAGGGAAGAGCCTGCTGTCTCCTTAGCTCTCAGCCCTCTACCTTGGTGCCCCAGTGCTCCAGGCCTGGGGCGTAGAGGAGCCCGTTCTTCTCCAGCCTCCTGCTCAATTCCTGCTCAGGATGAGCCTGGTCCCCGGCCTTACTGCCACCTGCTCCCTAAACATGAAAACTTAATGTTGAAAGGAGAAAAGCACAAAGACTGTACCTAGGACCTGAAGGCTTTCCCTAGAAGAGAGGATTGAGCTAGTGAGAGAATCCGCATTTGCTGAGGTGTAGTGAGCTTGTGGCAATCCCTGGCTACTTTGTAGTACAGTTAGCAACATGCCAGCATAGGACCATGGGTTATGTGAAATCCACTCCGAACCTTCCTCGGAGTACGGTGGATTCTAGCATTTCTACTGCCACCTGGAGAATGCCCTGAATGATTTTTGGTTGCCAACCACCCTCCCTCAACAACCAGCATCTGCAGCCTCAAGGTCCTCAGTTTGCCTGTTTTCAACTACAGAGTTCACTGAGGAGGCAGCAGGTTCCTTGGAAACCAAAATAACCCAGCCGCCAGCAGGTTGGAAACAAAGGGCTCTGTGTACTCAAGGGCAGGGGGAGCTGTCCCGCCCTGGGGAGAGCAGAGCATTCATTGGCTGGAAGGGACGCCTCTCCTTGCACACAGGAAATGGGAACCCTCATAAACCAATCCCCCTCCCACCTTGCTGGGTCCTCTTTATAGCCCAACAGCAAAGATAACACATCAGTCTCTAGGAGACGGGTGAAATGACTTGGAAAGAACTCAAACTTTTTTCCTTATTCTCTGAAGGTTTTGATGTATTTCTATACACGTATCTCAAATCCAAGGAAGGCACTGAATCGTGTAGGCATATTCTGAGGTGGAAAAAAATAAAACAAAACAGATGCTAGCTGTTTCTTTTTTTTTTTTTTTTCATTAGAACTCAATGATTAGGATTTCAGACTCTGGCTGGCTAGTCAACTCACTGCTGGAAGGGTGTTTCTTACCGTGATAATTGTAGATACAATAGCAAACCCCAGCACACACTTCATATTTTCCCTTTCTGTGTCCAATTCTATGCTGAGGTCAGTGGTATAGTCATAATACAGCCACCATAAGACACCGCAGACAACTAGAAGGCAAAACACCAGCAGGGATTATACATGACCTGAGATAGCCACCCCCACTCTGGCATGCAGAACCTCACACGCAAGTCTAGCTCCTGCTGGCAGACCCAGCTGCCCTGCTTAGGTGGTAGATTCCAAATTCCCAGGGACTTTAGAGCCAGCAGCTGCCCCCTGGAAGACGACCCTGCAGAGGACCTGCCAGTCCCAGGATGCTGCTGGTCTTTGGGTGACCCAGGAAGGTGACCCCAGGACACAGGTGCCTACCTCACAGGTTGGGTCTGGGTGGGAACAGGAAGAAAACTGCACCAAATAACTGGAGTCCAAAGTCTAAAATGTTCAAACAAACTCTGCAGGCGGCAAATTCTGTGGGAGCTTGGATATTGATTTTTCACCCACAAAGCTAGGTGGGTTTACATGGCCTGTGGGAATCATGTAAATCAGAGGCTCATTCTGAGGATACTCTGACATTGCAAACACTTTGTATTTAAGTAGAAAATGCTACCTCATGCCATTTCCACAGTATCTCTAAGGACGTCACAGTCATCTACTAATTGTAGATGGTGAAAAGCATACTTTACATCCTTGCCTATTCCCCAACATGGGGCTCAAGGGCTCTGCATTGCTGAGGGGCACAGCTGAGTATTCAGAGGAATGAAGCACTACAACCATAGGAGTCATTAAAAATTAAAACACCCTATGCCAACTGGTAAATAGCTGCAGCTTTGAGCTTCAGGCAGGTCCCTGTTCTTGGGATCCTCTTTTCAACAACCCTTGGGGAGACATACAATCCAGGAATGGACGGGGAAACAACTGACTCATATAGGGTTTCCAGGACTTTGTGTGTGCTCCAGCCTGCTCTCCAGACTGGCCAGAGCCTTTGCGTGACAACTGTGGCACCCACACACTCAGGGGTGAGTACAGGTTCAGAACAAATCCTTCAGGGCCGGGGATTTAGCTCAGTGGTTCTGATGCCTGCCTCGCAAGTGCAAGGTCCCGAGTTTGATCCCGGGTACCAACCCCACCCCCCCAAAAAAGAAATCCTTCAAAATTGTCTCACTGGGCACCAGAAATCTCTCTTAAATCTATGGTACAGGATTACTCAGTTGGCAGGCTGCACAGTATAGTAGAAACAACAACAGATTTGCTATTAACTTTGGCCATTATCTGTGGACATAAGCAATTTCCATGTCCTCCCTGGGCTGGACTTTTCTCACATTAAATGACGGGGCTAGATATACCCTAAGGTTCTGTGTAGCCCTAAGATGCCAACTTCTGAATTCTACACTTAATGAAAAGTCTTTTCATTTAACAAAAAAGAAATCAATCAAGCAGAAATACTTACACAACAATCCCAAAATAACCAATGAAATGATAATGTGAACCAGAAGAGTGGTGATGAATCGGAAGATGAACATCATGGCCAAAGACAAGGCTGAAAAATGAAGTAAATCTCATGAACCCCAAGAGCAACAAAGGGTGAGAGTGAAGACAGTAAACTGATGGTGACCAACATCCCCATCCCAGAAAAGTGAGGGTTGAGGGTTCTGTGCAATCTCCGAATATCTTGGGATGTATGCCAGACACCCAATGAAAATAGCAAGGCATTCTCCCCAAGGCAGTTACAGTAAACCACTCTCTGAAAGTTTTCTTGAATTAAAAAAAATTAAAGAGAAGGTATTTTATTACCAAATACTCAGATCGTTTTTTCTCTTAAAAGTCCAAATGAACTGTTTAAAGATTTTACCATACTAAGTCTTTTGTCTCCACACTGGACTTATGTAAGTTCTAACTTTAGATGTTCTGAGATACTTTTATTAACCCTAAAAGACTAATGCCTTTAACATGAAAATTGTAAGATTCCAATTATAAAGTAAGCTGTATATGGAAAGTACTGTATTTTCATTTCCTAATATATGGCCTTTCAGGCTTATACATTTTTAAAATACGGCAGTAATATATAAATAGTATTTTATTTTTCTCTAAACAGAAAATCAGGATTGCATATAGATATTTCAAAGTAGTGGTTAATAACATGGATTTGGAATCATACATATTTAGATTTAAGTAAGCTCTATCATGCCTTCTACTAGCTGTGCAACCCTGGCCAACTCAGTTAGGTCTCTAAGCCTCAGTTTCCTCTTCTAGAGCAGGGCAGGAATCTGATGAGGTTTTAATGAGTTAAGAATAAAAACAATGTGGGCCAGGGATTTAGCTCAGTGGTTTCGCCGCCTGCTGTGCAAGCACAAGGACCCAAGTTCAATCCCTGGTACCAAAAAAAAAAAAGAATAAACACAATGCCTGGAACAAGATAAGTGCTCAGTAAGTGATAACTGTTATGAGTCTAACATACACAATCCTTGTGAGGACTTAGGTCATCATACGTGACACCAGTACTAACCTGGATTTTTTGTTATCTGTGGTTACCAGGCTAGAATCTGGGAGTCACATCATGCTATTTGGGTCATTCGAAGTCATACTCAGGCAAAATAAAAACTCTGGGAGTGACATGATGGTGACTAGTTAAGTTTCCCTAAGTAATCAGGAATGAATAACCTTTTAGTAATGACATTAAGAAATTCAATTTGTAAACTGGCAGGAATACGTTAATGGATAGCCAAAGAGATTCTTTCAAGCCAGAAGTTGGGGGTCTACCACTGGGAAGGGGCTACACACTGGGCTATTACTATTCTCTAAGGTAGCAGAGTACACTAACCTGTTTAAGAGAAAGTTGACTCTTCTTGGCTCAGCAAACCCAAACACAGAAAATGTGAAACCGAAGGTCAAGAATGGGTAGCTGCTTCCACAAATGCCTGGAGGAGGCATGTCTTTGCTCAAAGCCCTCACCTGCCTACAATCCAAAGCAGGTATGTTGTTTTGGAGGAGTTAGACAAATGAAGCATTGCAGTCGGACCCCATTTAACATGGATACACACTCCTTCCCTTTCTCTAATTTGGATGACTAACATGTAGGCCAAAAGACATGGTTTCTGGTCTCCCTAATGGCCCTATTCTTCATGGCCAATTCATAAATTGGAAATCTGCACTACCTATCCATCCTTTATGCAGAGTTGAAGACCAGACACAAACATGGTTGGTCTATTAAAGCAACCCCACCCAGTGAAGCTTTCTGGCAGATAGGCTGCTGGTCTTCTCCCATTCATACTTTCCCTTCTTCTACTTGCACCTAAACACCAAAAACATCTAGAAAGGAAATAAATATGAAATTTTATATTTTAATACAAGAAGCTAATTTTCACTGTAATACATGCAGAAGTGCTAGAAACTACGGCATTCCAGAAATAGTTACTAAAATTAATTGAAAATTACCTAATGCAAGGATACACAGGCCAAGGATGGTGTCTCTTTCTGACATAATTCCACTTAGAATTTGATGGAGCATGTCAACATCATTTATCAAAGCAGATGCAAACATGGAATAGCACTCAGGTGTTTGAGGGATGCACCGGTTAAACAAGGGAAAGGACTTGCTAAAAAATAAAGAATTGATAATAAAATGTTTATTTATTTATCTTTTAAAATGATGTGTATTTAAGATTTTCAACAGCCAAGAAAACATAAGATCTGTAGTAATAAAAGGAGTTAAGCAACAAGATTGCAAAGCACACCGTAGAAAGGGAGGTAATCATGCTCTACTAACAGTGATTGGTTGATGCTCTGAAAGAAAATCTGTTTATGGAACCCAAAGAAGCCAGGAGAAAACATTTTAAAATAAAAATTTAATGTGTACAATGTGATATTTTAATAGAAATACACATTGTGACTTGATTCTTATAGTCAAGCTACTGGACATATCCATTACCTCACATAGTTACCATTTTTAAAATAATGAGAATACTTAAGATTTATTCTTTCAGAGCAAATATCAAACATGCAATGCAGTATTACTAACTGCAGTCACCATGCTAGATGTTGTATCTCTAGAACTTGTTTGTCCTGCATTACTGAAGTTTGTACCTTTTGATCAACATTTCCCATTTTCCCCACCTCCTGACCCTGGTAACCACTATTCTATTGTTTCTACAAATTTGACTTCTTTAGATTCCAGATATAAGTGAGAGTATGTAGTATTCATCTGATTTATTTCACTTAACATAAAGTCCTCCAGGTTCATCCATGTTGTTCCTTTATGGGGAACAACATTTTTGAATTTCATGTCTTGGTCCTTCCTAGACAAACTACCAACTCCAACACAAGCATGACATTTCTTCAAGGAACTATTTGGGATAGGGAATGGATCAGCCAGATGCTGTATTAATGATGGTACCAGCTTTATTCTCTCTTCCTTAGGAAGACATACAAGGCTTGAAAGTCTTCCTATATACAGAGTGAGTGCTTTATAAATAATAAATGTATGATTGACATTTGAATAAATATGAAAGGTAACTTTTTGGGGGCCCTTTCCTGAAATGTAAAAATGATCAGGAATATACATCCTAAATGTTTTTTTAATGAGGCCACAAATATCTTCACAAGGTCCTCCTCTTCTTTCCTTCCATAGGCCCCAAATAGTGGAAATAATCTCAAACCAAGAAGTGCCAAATTATCTAGCAGGCTGTTAAAAACCTACGTAGGTAATTACCATTTGTGAAATGTATGAAGATGAAACAAGGAAGAACTCAAGTCCAAGCAATATCAGATTGCCTTGAAAAAAGAAAATGATTTCCAAAACTCCAATGAAGCACAACATGGAACATGTGAAAGACTCTTCCTTAGGAGGTGACAATATTACAGAAATAGCTTCTGAGTCACTGAATAGTGATTTCAGAAGATAATGGAACAGAAAAATTAAATTCAAATTAAATTTTTGAAGGGTAAAACATTCACATGGCTCAAATTCCAAAAGCTGCAAGATTAAAGCTTGAGATATTGTTCTGCCTTGTCTCTAAAACAGATTTTCTCATAAACCACTATTGTTTTTAATATCTTATCTATCAATCTAGAGATTTTTTAGCATAAATGTAATAGAATATTTAAATGGAAGTTTACAGATGAACTCAAAGATAATAAAAATTAGACTATAAAAATGAGATGACAGAACTCATCATGCAGAGGTCACCACAAAAAGAGAAGGGGAATATGGGTTAGGTTTTTAAAAAAACCCATACGCACACTGAAAGGGTTTGATTAGAAGAACATTGTAAAAAATAAACTTTTAATTTTAGAATAATTTTAAAGTTACAAAAATCTACAAGGATGGAACAGAGAGCTCTTATGTACCTCCACTCATTCTCCCCTAATGCTAATATCTTACATAGCCATAGTGCATTTGTGAATATTAAGATGTAACCTTGGTACTGTCCTATAACTAAACTAGAGCCTTTATTTGGACTGCATCTTTCCCACTGCTTCCCTTTTCTGTTCCAAGACCCAAGTCAGGATACCACATTGTATAATTTGTCATATCTCTTTTTTGGTCTGTGACACTTTCTTATGTTTTCTTTGTTTTTATGACCCTGGGATTTCCACAGGTTCACAATCAGGTATCTTGTAAAATGTGCCTCAATTTGTAGAATTTCCCTCCATTTCCTCATGATCAGACTGCAGTTGTAGGTTTTTGGGAAGATCACCATGTATATGAAGCACCCTTTTCTTAGAGTCCTGTCAGGGAGCACAATCAGCAACATGACATCACTGGTGAACTTAACCTTGATGACTTGGGTACGGTGGTATGACCACATTTCTCCACTGTACAGTTGCCCTTTTCTCTTCCTTCACTATATTTGGAAATGAACCACTACATCTCACCCACTCTCAAGGGGAGGGAAATTAAGTTCCACTTTCTGGTGGAGAAGTATTTACATTATCTGGGATTCTTTTGTAAAGATTTCTTTTCATCACCTCCATTTATTTACTTATCCAATCATTTGAGATAAGGTCAATGCCCACTGCAAGCCACTGTAACTGCCCCTAGACCATAGTGCCACAGTATCTTTTCCTTAAAAAATGTTTTGCTAGACATAGCTTCTAGGTAGTAGACAACACTTTTGACAATTTTTATATATTTCTATACAACATTTTTCAATAATTTGTTTTCGAAACTCTGGTTCTTTTCTTTTATTCACAGGTTTGCAAGCAAATAATGAGACACTGCTTAGCATTAAATATTCAGAGTACTTTATTTTGGTACTGGGCATTGAACTCGGGTCCTTGCGCTTGCAAGGCAGATGGTGGAACCACTGAGCTAAATGCCCAGCACCAATTCAGAGTACTTTAAAAAGAAATAAGCTGTGCCTTCATAAATAGATTAATATCTCCTGTTAAATCTTGCCCTGTTTTCTAGGAAAGTATCTTTTTGATAATTTTTTTATACTGAGGATAAAGAACTGATAAGTAAAACTTTCAAATACACTATGAATTAATGCTGTAACTTCTACAGTAGCTTTATTTAATATCTCCCACTTCCATCATATGATCCATGTTGTAATCCGTGTCAAAATAGCCTATGAGAGTCCAATCATTTCTTTATACCAGTATGGAATCATGGGTATTTTTCTATTCTTTGGGTTATAATCTCATACGATCATTAATTGGCCACTGTGTCCTTTTGACATACTCCATCCCTTTTTTCCTCAACACTTCCTTGCTTTCTGGATCTACAAGGTGACACCAACCTTACCTTGTATTTTCCACATCAAAGTCCTAGAATCTGCCATTTCTCCAAAGATCTTCTGGAAAGTAGCAATTAGAAACCAAGATCGAGGCACTGGGTATGCTCATTGCTCCTGAGATATCACAGATTCTAGGCCTTTTTTATGATCAACCCTAGCATGGAGTTTCCAGAATTGCTATACAGTAATCCTGTGATAAACTCATTAACTTGAATACAGTGTATATGTAGAGTCATTTTTGTCTTTTTTTTTTCTTTGTATAAATGAAGGTTTAATATTTTTTCATAAAGAGTATAGGAATTTGGAAGACATTTCGAGCAAGTTTGCAAGGATCTTTGAAGTTTGTTTCATATGCAATCACAGATAGTTTCTATATCAGCTCCATGATTTATTAGCTTTGCAGCCTTGAAGGGAGCAACAAATTTTTCTGAGTCTCAGTTTCCTCATCATTATCAGGGTTAATGAAATATGGCCTTTTGCTTTCAACACTTGAGCATTTACATTTACTATGTAAATTCTTTTTTTTCCCCATTAACTTTATTGGTACATTTTAGGTATAAAATACAGTTACATTCATCATTGGGATCTTGTACCATTACATGAGTCTCTTG